GACCCGTTGTTGCATCTAGATGGCAGCTTCCTAGCTTTTAAGGTCCCAGTCGCTACTCGCCAAATTAGTAGGTGGAACAATGTTTTGTATAGTATGTTATGCCAATTGAGCATGATGTCCCCTGCATCTAAGTCACACTTCTTGCTAGCTTGTGAGTAGCTCAGGCAATTTATAGAATTAAAGAGACAAAAAGAAAAAGAAAGAAATCAATGACACCTGTTCAGTTTTATTTAACCTCACTTTCTCCAACTCATTGAGTCACTGAGTCCTATTCTTTCTAAGCAGACACTGTTAACACTGTATAGCCACAAGCATTTAACTGGAGGCAGTGGGAAATTTAGGAAATTGGTTTACAAATATAAGGTTTGGGAGCAGCTTTAGTTTCCCCATATCTCCAAAAGCCCCCAAATAAACTTACACTCTAAGAAAAGACAAAGGATTTTCTACAGGTTCAAAACAAATGGCTTAATCTCACAACAACCCTCTCCCCTTGAGATTGTTGCCATTTAGTCCCTTCTAGAAATTCTAGAGTATTAGCCCTACACTTCATCACTCATAAGACCCTTAGTACTCTGATCCCCACTGACCAACCCTAAGCGTCACTTCCTCACCCTCCCTGGTGGAATAATAAAGGACTAATTGCTCCCAAACCACCCTCACAGCCTTTGCACCTATGCCTACTGCAAGACCCCCCCCACACACACACACACACACCCTTCAAATATTTTCCTGGACAATACTGCTTCTTCCCTGGAGGAAAAGGGAGCTGGGTGAAGCAAGGAACGGTGTTTGTGAATTTGGAAAATACAACTTACAGCTCTACTAAATGGAGTTAGAAGACCCCTATATTGCACCTAGGGAAACTGACTCATCCAGTATGCTTGAGAATTTCCTAGAAGTCCCTGTAATTCTTGTATACCAGGAAAACCCTGGGGTGGGAATATCCTGGTTTTAAAACTGAAAGTCTTGAATCCTTTCATGAAGATTAGTCCCTTCAGCAAACCAACATGTGCAAATTATGCACGTTTCAAAGATCACATATGTGTCCTCTTCATTAGATAGTATGCATAGAGTAGAGAGCAATCCTGGGACACTGTTCACACCTCACAACAAAGAGTGATGAGTGGAGGCATGGAGAAGGATACAAGGAGGGAAGAAAGAAAAGAAGGAAAGAAAGAAGGGAGAAGAAAGAAGTGAGAAAAACGTCAATTTTGGATAAGCAGAGATAAAGGAGAGGACACACCTGGTAGATAAAAATGAGCAAGGAGGGCATAAACCCCCATGCTGGTGTTGAGGTTTTTCACAGCAGTGTGTCCATCCTGAGCTGAACCCCTGTTGGTCTTGACCTCCTGTCCAGGTCCCAATCTTCTGGCTCCACACAGACCAATTTATTTCTTCCCACCCACAGGTGTAATTGCTGCTGTAGCCTTTGTCCTGGTCTGCCTCCTTTTCGTCATGCTACACTATATGTACCGGCACAAAGGCACATACTACACCAATGAAGCCAAGGGAACAGAGTTTGCAGAGAATGCAGACACGGCCCTACAGGGTGACCCTGCTCTCCAGGATGCCGGTGACAGCAGCAGAAAGGAGTATTTTATCTGATGGGCACAAGACCTCACCACTCTATGCCCCTGCTCCAACTCCATGAGACAAGATGCACCCCACCACCACCACCACCAGATTGACTGTGGAAAACCACCTTCCCAAAATATGTGCCTTGAAATATATGGGGCTTGCCTAGGGTGGAGAAGAGTGCACACCACTAGAAATATCCAGGGGTTCAGCAGCCATAGTGTGGCCTTCCTCTACTCAGCCAGGGAGAGCCTACATCTGGGCACACAATCTACCTGGGCAATTCAGGCGGTCATCACATGTGAGACCTTGCTAAGTGGGTGGGCCTGAGAGGTGCAAGAAAAATGAAGGGTGTCATCTATACACTTAACTGGAGGCAGTGGCCTCAAAGGTCTGTCCTTGACATTTGGAGAACAGCAGGTGGTGCCAAAGCCAAAAGGCACCTTTGTCTCCCATTGTTCCTGCACACAACAATTGAAAATAAAATTTGAAATGTATCTGAGCATCTGTTGTTCATGGGCAGACAGATTGTCTGGGGAGATAAATGCCAGCTAGGGCTTGCTCTTCAATGGCAATTGTGTGTTCTCTGAAAGAGGCAATGTGGAGCTGGGAGACATCACTTGTAGCTCAGAGCCTTACAGGGATGCATCCTTTGCTGGCTTCATGAAACAAATGTAAGGGTGAAATGTTCCTCTAGGAAGGAAGTTTCCAGGTGGCCAGACCACTGGCTGAAGCACTGATTTTTGAATGAATGTTATTAAATTAAATAAACTAATATGAGCAAACATAAGCAAATTCCATCATTCCTGATGCACATTTAGCTTTAACAAAACAAATCCATAATAATATTGACAGTGGCAACAGGGATTGTGAGCACAGACTCCTTTGGTTTGAATCCTGGCTCTGGGACCATTTTCCTGGTTCTGAGATCTTGGGCAACTTCCTTAGCCTCTCTGACCTCAACATCTTTATCTATGAATGGAGACGTGATAATGATACCAACTAGTTGCTCTCAAGTTGACTTTAACTCATGACAACCCCATGTTTATCAGAGTAGAACTGTGCTCCATAAGGTTTTCAATGGCTGATTTTTTGGAAATAGATCACCACGTCTTTCTTCCAAGGCACCTCTGGGTGAACTCAAACCTCCAACCTTTACATTAGCAACTGAGATAATTAACTGTTTCCACCAACCAGGGAGAAAAAAGCCTGGCAAATTACTTCCAATATACAGTCAATGAAAACTATGTATCAAAACAGTGCAATCCATTTCCAATCCTGGAAATGAAACAGGACCAGTCAGCATTTTGTTCCATTGTGCATGAGATGAAGCAATTTCATAAAGAGCTCAGAGTTCATTATATGCCATTGTCAAAAACTGGTGTTGAATTTGTAGTATTTTTTTTTTAACCAAATGACTAATTGTCAGCATTTCTAAACTTTTTCTAAGGAGTACCCAAAATTTAAAATGAACAACATAGACATAAGGGGAATTTACTAGCCATCCTCCACCATGTGGTGAATCTCCTGAAGACTTAACAAATCAGCAATCCCTCAGAGACCAGCAGTTCCAAGACCAAAGACTGCACCCAGGTCCTGGAGCTGCCTCAGGGATTCCCTTCATCTCCTGTTTTTTGAAGATGCACCATTTTCACCTGAGAGTCAGTTTTCTTAGGAGAATAGGGAGAATTCAAACTTAAATTGGGACTGATGGGACAATGAAAGGGAGAGAAGAAAGACCTCATGGAACATCGAGTGATGGAAGGAGCCTGGTCATGTGTGAGCCAGCCTTATTGGCCCTCAATTTTTTCATCTATGTATTAAAGACTGTAGGCTATATCCATTTCCCCAAAATATGATTCACCACAAAGTACATTCCATGGGAAATAAGTGTGAACAATAACCATATTAAGCAAAATTAAACTGTACAAAACTTCTCAAGCCTTTCACTACTCCAATGTGTATTATGACTCCTGGGTACAAAATGTATGCAGTATTTCCCAAATGTGTTTGGCTAAAACCCCATTTCTTCACAGAATATCTATTACAAATTTGTGAACTAATTGTTCCTTGGAACACATTTGAGAAACACTAATCTACTTCCGTAGTGATACTGCCTCGGAAACCCAAGGAGGGGTCGCTATGAGTCAGGTCTGACTCGACGGCACATAACAACAACAACAACAACAAACTAAACTACATTGTCTTGACACTGATTCAGTTTTAGAAGCTATGGGTCCCTGTTTTCAAGATTTCTGAGACTAGATCCCTGTCTCATGGGAACCCAGTCTCTTGAAAAGGACCAAAATCTGTACATAGATAAGCAGCTCCAAGGAGAGGATGAACTAGAGTTCTCTGAGCCACCTTTAGGGCTGATGCCTGGTAAGGTTGAAAAATAGTGGTTTCATGGGCCTATAAAATGCTGATTACTCTACCCTCAGATTAGGTACCATGTTTTGTAATTTTTGAGCCCTTCTTCAGCCAAACCAAGAAACAAGCCTACTGTCATTGCATTGATTCTAACTCTAGTGACCTTGCAGAACTGCCCCATAGACTTTCCAAGGCTGTAAATCTTTACAAAGGCAGACTGCCTCATCTTTCTCCCACAGAGTGGCTGATGGGAGACCTTTTGGTTAGCAACCAAGTGCTTTAACCACTGTGCCACTAGAACTCCTTCATTCCCCAGTAGTAACTTGAAATCATTATTCATTCATCATACCTATGACAAATGTTGGTTGAGGTAAATATGCACACATTAAAGTCTCAAAAAACTATTAAGGAAGGAAGAAGAGAGATGGATGGGAGAACAAAGGATGAGGGATAAGGAAGGAGAAGAATAGGTGTAGAGGGAAGGGAAAGGGAAGCACACTGCTCTTTTCTCGTGGTTTAACCTTTACAACAACCCTGGGGGGGGGAGTGAGATTCTTCTCCTTCCGCTAGGTTTGTAAAGACTGAGACTCAAAAAGTTGAAAGGACTTGCTGGAGGTCACTCAGCTTCAATCAGAAGAGAGCACATTGAAGCAGGGCCCATGACTAGTGGACTGGAGAGGAGCCTCCTACATGCAGAGGTTGAGTTGGTCAGCAGCAGCTCTTCATGAGATGGAGCAAATGCAACATGACTCAGCAATTCTTCAGTGACTGTGAATTCTGGGATCTGAGAGCCTCAGGCAGGATCTCTGCTGTACAGAGGCCCAGACACAGTTCTGACCTGGTTTCCTTTACTGGCAACCCCAGTCCCTGGTAATAACTGCCCTCATGGTACCGGAAGCTCTGGTGGAAGATCATGATGAAGTGGAACCATGGGCTATCTGCTCATGCAGAATAATTAGGAATGTTCCATGAAGAAATAAATGTGGATAATGACATATTAAGCAAAATGAAACTAGCGCAAAGCTTCTCAAGACCTTCACTACTTCAATATGCATCATGACTCCTGAAGGTAGAGTGTATGCAGTATTTCCCAAACATTTTTGGCTAGTAACCCTATTTCTTCACAGAATGCCCATTACAAATTTGTAACTTGTTCCTTGGAACACATTTGATTAACACTAAACTAGACTACTTTGACCATTCCTTCTTGTCCTGGCATTGATTCAGCTACTAGAAACTATGGGGCTCTGCTTTTAAGGTTTCTAAGAATAGATCATTGTCCCGTGGACACCCAGTCTCTTGAAAAGGTCAAAAATATGCACATAGATATGCAACTTAAAAGAGAGAATCAGCCAATGAAAACCCTATGGATCACAACTGACTAGTTCACAACAAATTATGGAGACAACACTAGACCAGGCAGTGTTTCATTCCATTGTACATGGAGTTTCTATGAGTCAGAAAGAACTTGATGGCAGCTAAGAACAACAACAAAGCTTGCAAAGGTCTAGCTTTGCTCTAGGAGCCAGAATCTCCTCCACATCCTGAAGCATACCCTGTACTATGGCTACCAGGGTGTTTATAGTCTGGATTACACATGACTCAACCCATCCTCCTGGTGAGAAATGGATCTTATTCACTTAACAGGGGAAAGGGCAGTGGGTCAGAGCTCTAAGCCAATATTATGTAAATATTATAAAGAAATTTTTTTCTTCTCTTTTTAATGGAAGGAACTCTGGATGATTTTATCTTGTTTATGTTCCTGTGGAGGGGAGACCACTGAATTTTTTTCCTGTCCTTGCCTGAGCAGTTTTATCATTATAACAGCATAGGAACAAACAGTGTTTAAACTGGTCCAGTGCCACAAATAGAGCAACAGACATTTTAACATTTGGAATTTAATATGTGAATGTTGTTTTGGAAAGAGAATGGTGTAGAATAGGACAGAGTTTAACTGAAATCTTATCTCTGGCACTAACTAGTTCTGTGACATACAAAGAGGTACTTCAGTCTCCTTATGAAAAAAAATGAGTAACTTTTGAGATTAGGCTATTTTGAAGATTAAATTAGAAAAGAATATAAACTTAGAATGGTATGTCAAGAAACAGCTAACTAGTTAGCCTGCAACAGTTTCCTCAATGCTGACAGAAGTCTGGAAGTCCCTGGTCAGAGACAAAAAACTTTTAACACTTACAACCAGTAAGCAGCATGAACATTAGCATATTTGTATTCACTCATGTTTCTCCTAAGTCCCAGGGGGAGAAGTGGATGGTCTCAGATGGATGCCTGCACACAGAGTGAGCTGAGTGACATAAAATGATTCCTGAGCAAGAGAACCAGAATCTGTTATAATAGGCATCAAGCAAACCTGTCCTTTGCTTAGAAGAAAGCCATTGTCATTGTCTTTATTATATATATATATATATATATATATATATATATATATATATATATATTTCTCATGGAAAATACTATCTCTGCTTTCAAGGCTGTTTTTCCTACCAACACCCTTGAAAAGATAGTCCAGAGCAAGAGACAGTTAGTTACTCACTGTCAAGATGTGAGAAATACTAGGGACTCATGAAGAATTGTCTTTCACAAGGTAATCACTGTCTAGCACAGTGCACAGGACCCAGTAATTAATAAATAGTCATTGAATG